CAGTCTCCAGAACCGTGAAAGAATGCATTTCGGCTGTTTGAAGACACCCAGTTGGTGGCATTTTGTTATGGCAGCCCCATCCTCGTGTTCTGTGTAAAGCCCACCAGACATGGGGGCAGGGCAGGCAGGCCTGGAAGGTTCCGGGAAGCAGATGTCCAGCATCAGAACTGCTGGAGGATGGAAAACGGCGATGGCAGGGGCCACCCCAGACCTCCTGGGTCAGGTTCTCGGCGGGGAGGGGCTGCCCTGAGCACCTGCTTTCTACACGAGCTCCCCAGGGGCACCCACACCTGGCACGTGCTGCTGGACACTGGGGAGCCTCAGAGGGTGTCTGTCGGCGCGTCAGGAACAGTCAGGAACAGGAGAGAATTCCCCATCTAGGGGATCGACTGCCAGAAACACAGAAGGCTTGCTGGGGTGGGGGATGAAGACGCAGCCGAGGTGCCTGGGGACCGGGATATGGGGCAAGTGGGGTGGACGCAACAATCAGAGTGGCCGAGCGCGTGGGGAGCTGCTTTTCTGAGCAGATGTGCGCCGTTCTCCCTGGGACAGCGGTTGATGGGCAGTTCCCGGTTTGGAAGGTCCGGGGCCTGCGGTCCTTTCAACGAACTCCTGAAAGCCGGGGGCAGGGAGGCAAGGAGGACGTGGCCCTCTGTGTCATCAGCCCCTAAAGGGCCAAGGCCTGGGACAAACGAATGTTTCCGAAGCCCCAGATGAGCAGGGGGCCCGAGCGGAGAGAATGCACCAAGGAGATGCTCCCGGAAAGATGGCGGCAGAGAGGAAACAGCGGGCCCCTCAGGAACCTGCTAGTTCAGCTCCTCGCAGGGCTTCCAGGGCTGTTCAAGCACAGCACAGCGGGGAGAAGGGCTGCCTCCGCCTTTCCCGGGAGGCGTGAACTCTTCTTGAGACTGGAACGGACTGGGGGCAGTGGTGTCAGAGTCCTGGACCAATGGCTTCTGAGGTTTTCCTGTCAGAACTCTTCCCTTTGGTTGCCCCACGGAGGTGGCTCTATCCCCCAAGCTTGTCCTCCGGCCTCCTGTCCTCTGTCCCTCCTCCAGAGAGCAGCTTGCAGGCCGTGTCCTTCCTTGGTAAGGCCTCCCGGGGACGCTGACCCCGCAGGGGAGGAGCAGTCCCAGCGCCCTTGATTATGTCACAGCGGGAGAGAAGCAACAGGCTAGACATTTCTCTCTTTTTTTTCTTTTTTTGCGGTACGCGGGCCTCTCACCGCTGCGGCCTCTCCCGTCGCGGAGCGCAGGCTCCGGACGCGCAGGCTCAGCGGCCACGGCTCACGGGCCCAGCCGCTCCGCGGCACGTGGGATCCTCCCGGACCGGGGCGCGAACCCGCGTCCCCCGCATCGGCAGGCAGACTCTCAACCACTGCGCCACCGGGGAAGGCCGACATTTCTCTTTGAAATGTGAAAACTCCATGTGGAAGCCGAAGCCTCTTCCGGGGTCGTCCTGACGGCACAGCTCGGGGCTGCTGGCCTGCAGAGCCTGTACCTCCATCCTAATCCAACTGATTCTCGGATGACCCCTCTGCAGCCCCCAGGCCCAGCCTCACGCTGCCCCCCAAGTGTCCTCCCCTGCCCCTGCCCCTGCCCTCTCAGCCCAGCTGGGGAGCAGAGCTCGGCGGAGAGATGCTCAACTCTGGCGGCCACAGAGCGCTGAGCCTGAACCAGGAGGCGCAGAGGAGAAGTTCCCGGGGGGCCACCTCCCTCCAAGCGCCCTCCTCTTCCCTCTCCATCCCTCCACATCCAGCCCCGGTGCCAGCGCCAGCCTGTGTGAAGACCCCCAAACTCCCCTGCCCCAGCCTGCGTTGCTGCCTGAAGCCCTGGCGTGCAGCCCCCTGTTCTAGGCTCACAGGGAGGCAGGGAGACTGGCGGTGAAGAGCCCAGAGCCCCCCAGAGTCATGTGAGCCTGGCTTCAAGGCCTGGCCCGGCCAATCACTCTACCACGGGGTTCTGGGAGAGTCCCGCATGGGAGATGCCACTGGAGCCCTGCCCACAGCCACTGGCACTCAGTGCGCCGGGTACGTGGGCCACTTGCCCCTACGTACGGGCACCTGTGTCTCCCCGAGGAGGGTCCTCCCTGGCACGGAGCAGGCCTGAACTAACAGGAACTTGACCTGGTGGGTAAATGTACAAGTCACCTCGCCCCTGGGGTGAGACAAGGCCAAGGTGCGCTCCCGCGACCCCCCCGGAGGTCCTGATGGGACTGGGCCTCAGGTGCCTGCAGTACCTGCTCGTTAAGGCACCGGAGCTGGCGTCCTGTCCCTTCCAGACTTACTCTCTGTGCTCCCACTGCTGCCGCCTGGCACCACCTCCACGGCAAAACACTTCCCTCAAATCCTTGCCTCAAGGTCTGCTTCTGGGGGAACTCAACCCAAGTGCCATGTCCCACGTCAGCTTCGTCCTTGGTCACACGGAGACAGCGACCGTATCCTTGGAGGAGCATGGGACGCTGGGCTCGCAGGCTCAGAAAAGGTTGGCTGTTTCCCTGGGCTTATTCCTTCCCCCAGAGGCAGGCCGGCCTTCTGAGATGGCAGGCACGGACCCGCACGCGGGACTTAGCCAGACTCACACGGGGGGCGGGGGGGGTGGGACAGCGCCAGACCCTCCCCACCCCCCCGCCCAGCATCCAGCCCTGCCGGGAACGAGGGGAGATGCAAAGCTGGGGGGGGGGG